AAACCATGGTAATCTTCTGATAGATTATTTTGGGATAAAAAGGATAATGGGAGACAGATAGTGATGCTGAGATTAGAGTTTGGTTTTTTGGAGCCACTCATTGCCTTATCTCTCATCATTCCAATTATCCAGTCTCCAGACCATGTGCTTTGTAATTTAAGGAGAATCAAGCTGTTTTGTGGTGTAATTTTATACCTTTCATTATACCTTCAATGGAGAACTAGTAAGAGTAAAGCTGGCTGTAATGCAGACCCATCAGTGCTGCTTTTTTTAAATTTTTTTATTTAAGATGTAGCCGGGCATGGTTTTGGCCTTTAATCCCAGCCTTTAATTCCAGTACTCTACTCAGGAGACAGAGGCAGGTGGATCTCTATGAATTTGAGGCCAGCCTGGTCTATAGTGTGAGTTCTAAGCCAGACAGGGCTACACAGAAAAAAAAAAAAACCCTGTCTCAAAAACAAACAAACAAATAAAGGTGGGCATGATGGTGTACACTCATAATCCCAGCACTCGGGAGGCAGAGGCAGGCCTGGTCTATAAAGTGAGTGCAGGACAGCCAAGGCTATACAGACAAACCCTGTCTGTCTGTCTCTCTTTTTTAAAAAAGATTTATTTATTTAATATGCATAGTGTTCTGCCTGCATGTACACATACCTATACGCCAGAAGAGGACACCAGACCTCACTGTAGATGGTTGTGAGCCACCATGTGGTTGCTGGGAATTGAACTCATGACCTCTGGAAGAGCAGCCAGTGCTCTTAACCTCTGAGCCATCTCTCCAGCCCTCTATCTGACAAATCCTGTCTTGAAAAAAAATATATAAAAAAACAAAATGAACCCCCACAAAAGAAAAAAAAGACAAGAACATAGTAGAGGTAACTGTTGTGAAGGTACTGAAGGTATTAATACACCATAGAGGAGCTATTTTCCTGTGTCACAGGAAGAATTAGAAGATATCTGGTGCTGTGTGTGTATTGGCGGTGTGGCACACACTTTTAATCCCGGCACTCAGGAGGCAGTGGCAGATGGATCTCTGAGTTGGAGGCCAGCCTGGTCTACAGAGCGAGTTCCAGGACAGCCAGGACTAAAACTGAGAAACCCTATCTTGGAAAACAAGAACAGAAACAACCGCAAAAGACAATATCTGGAGGGTTGGGGAAGATGGTCTTGTAGTCAAGACTGTTCTTTCGGGGGCTGGAGAGATGGCTCAGAGGTTAAGAGCACTGCTTGCTCTTCGAGAGGTCCTGAGTTCAATTCCCAGCAACCACATGGTGGCTCACAACCATCTATAATATGATCTGGTTCCCTCTTCTGGCGTTCGGGTGTACAAGCAGGCAGAACATTGTATACATAATAAAATAAATAAATCTTTAAAAAAAAAAAAAAGACTGTTCTTTCAGAAGACCTGAGTTTGGTTCCAAAATCCCACATCCTTTGTGGCTCAAGACTGCCTGTAACTCCAGCTCCAGAGGATCTAGCTCCCTCTCCTGGCCTCCACAATTACCTGTACCCATAAGCACAGCCCATAAAACACACATATACATCTATACATAAGAAATAACAAATCTTTTAGAAAAGAGACATATATCAAGCCTGGAGGATAGGTGGGCCTCATGGGAGTGAAACTGGGAAAATAGTTATTAGGATCTGGTGGCATTTATACTTCCTGGCATGGCATTCTTTCTTCTTCCCGTTTGCCAGCTGAATTTTCTATCTGCTTGGCTCTGGGTGCTTCCAAGTGACAGATTTTTATTTCAATTCTTTTGACCAACTGACTCAGTTTCTCAGTCCCAGAACTAGTCTGTATAATTCTTTTCCTTTTTTTGAGACAGGGTCTCACAATGTAGCTCTGGTTTGGTCAGGAATTCACTCTGTAGACCAGGCCGGCCTCAAACTCAGAGATTCACCTACTTCTCCCTCCTGAGTGCTGCAACTAAAGGTGTGTGCCGCCACATGCCACAGCCTACCTAGTTTCATAAAACTTAGGTTACTGGCTAATCTTCCATTGCATCCTACTGCAACCCATTCCGTGATAGCTAAGGTAAGCAAAGTCACCTGGTTAGAACACTTAGGACGGCAAAGGCTGTGACAAAGGAGATACTGGCACTAATCTAACATGTATTTTTGTTGTTTGTTTGCTTTTTTTTTTTTTTTTTTTTTTTTTTTCCTGAGACAACTTTTTTTTCTGTGTAGCTTTAGCTGTCCTGGAACTTACTCTGTAGACCAGGCTGGCCTCAAACTCATGGAGTTTCCCCTGCCTCTGCCTTCCTAGGACTGGGATTAAAGGTGTGTGCCGTCACTGCCCAGCTCCAACATGCATGTTAACGGTTGCTATGTATAAGTTAATGTTGTGGGAGTAGGGATGCTAACCGTCAGCCAGAAAAGGTACCTTCTGGAGGAAGGAAGTAAACAGAATGAAGCAGTGCTTGCTGAACTGCTCCGAACACCACGCACATACAGATGAGATGAAACGTGGCAAAGTTGGAAGAACAAATGCCAGGACAGCTGTTAGAAGGTGGGTATAAGCTCTTTTGGTGGTACCGAGAACGTAACACTCCTGAAATCACTGCATTGATAGTGTATTTAAGTTTAGAGGCATGGCTCACAGTGTAGCCAGCAACAGGTGACCACTCACTAGCAGCGTGTGCTCTTTGGAATATACATTACTCCTTAGACATTTACAAGGAAGATGTTATTTCTGGAATAAAACATTGGTCATTGAATCCCATGCTCCCTCACACTCTTACAGCAACCATGTGAACTGAGTTTTCTTATCCCTGCTCTCCAGATGGGAAAGCTGAAGATCAAAATGAGTAAGAACCCAGGGAAGCCACCATCTTGTAGCGGCTGGTGCATAAGTTAGAGCAAATATGTCAGTTCCAAAGACTGTTGTTCTTTCATTGCATTTTCTGGACGATGACTCGATTGAAAAGGTTAAGAAAACATACGGAAGTAAAGTGGTGGCACTTGCCTTTAATGCCAGCACTTGGGGGAAGAGAGGGAAAGAGGTGGTGAGTCTCTGGTTTTGAGGAAAGCCTGGTCTACAAAGCGAGTTCCAGGGCAGCCAGGGCTACAAAGAGAAACCCTATCTTGAAAAAACAATTAAAAAAAAATGCAGGGGTTTCAAGATGGCTCAGCAGGTAACGGTGCTTGCTGAAAAGTATGAGTACCTGAGTTCAATCCCTGAGCCACACATGATGGAGAGTACTGACTTCTGCAAGTGTCCCCTTCTCTCTTTCTTTTTAAAAATATTTTATTTATTTATTTTATGTATATGATTGCTCTATCTGCATGTACATCTGCATGTACACCTGCAAGCCAGAAGAGGGCATCAGATCCTGGTGTAGATGGTTGTGAGCCACCATGTGGTTGTTGGGACTTGAACTCAGGACTTCTGGAAGGACAGAAAATATGCATAACCATGTAGCCATCTCTCCAGCCCCACTTTTCTTTTTTTTTCTTTTGTTTTTCAAGACAGGCCCTGTGTAACACGCCCTGGCTGTCCTGGACTCATTTCATAGACCAGGTTGGCCTTGAACTCACAGAGACCTGCCTGTGCTGGGCTTAAAGGCGTATGTCACCACAGCCAGCCAGGTGTCCACTTCTCTATGCGCATGCCATGGGATGTGAGTTCCCACATACAGACAGACAGGACCAAACAGAAATAAAAATTTAAAAACTTGACCAACAAATTGATTCAGTATACTATCACTAGCTCTCCATCAGGTTGAGAAAGGAGGGACGCCTACTTTGATGGTACAAAAAAATCACAGTATTACAGTGAAGTTCATAGACTTTCACATAACACAACAAAATCAGGAATTCTGTTTCCAACTTGATGGGATGGTATCCAATTTTCATTAGAAAACTCGGGGAAGCTGGGTGTGGTGGCACACACCTTTAATCCCAGCACTTGGGAAGAAGAGGGAGGTGGGTCTCTGTGAGCTCGAGGCCATCCTGGTCTACAGATAAAGTCCAGGACAGCCAAGGCTGTTATGCAAAGAAACCCTGTCTGGAAAAACTAAACAAACAAACAAAAAAATTAACTAACTAAAAGAGAGAATACATGGTTAGGAATATATTCCCTGCCAGTTCTCAACTTTGTCAGTCACTCACTAACGGAGCATCACAAAATCATTTACTCCCTTCAGTTTCCTTAGCTATTCAAGAATTAATTATGTTTTTCACAGAACTTTGTTTTGGACAGATGAAAAGGGACAGCTACATTGATTGGCTAATCCAGTCACAGAGGAGTACAGTGTTGGTCCTCCTTAGTTTCTTTTATAGAACAGCCATTTCATTTCTGGATTGTCATCACCGACAAGGTCTCCCTGTGTATAGTTTTAGCAACATCTTCAGGTTAAACCTTAGTGGTCACATAAAATGTGTCTTTACTCCCTTCCCTTGGTATCTTCACAGATATCTGATTACAGCTGAATTGGAGATATGGGAGAAAAAATTTGTTCTATCGTTGAGCTGGGAAGCTGGTGTGGGCCAACTGTATGAATCTCAAGAACTATTTAGATTGAATGAATGGGTCAAAGATGATTTTTCAGTTCATAATGTGAGAAACCCTGTCTGATGATGGAATGTTTATTTGGAAAGACAGTGGTCTTTGACACTGGTGATTTCTTTCCTGCCGGAAGAGAGCGTGTGTAATGTGTCCTTCCTGCAAGACATCTGAAAGAATCTGAACGGTGCTGCCGTACAGTAGGCAATTTGAAAGGTCATCTCTCGCGATGAGTGACTGGTGGAACGTGGAAAGACAGCCGGTTTCCTTTGACCGCTCAGCCTGTATTGGGGTGGTGGGGACTAACTTCGGTCTTGTCTCTTTAGATGGCCGCAAGATGGTGCTGGGGAGCTCGCACACCGCTGGCGGGACGCTCCTCGTTCACCCGCCCGGCAGTGAGACCACAACTCCCGGGATGCTCTGAGAAGGGAGGCAGGGGCATGGGGGAAAGGAACGCGAGGGCGGGTCTTCCGGGTGAGTGTTTCCGGCGTCGGCGGCCGCGGCCGGGGACGGTGTGAGAGCGGTAAGATGGCGGCCGCAGCGGTGGTAGAGTTCCAGAGAGCCCAGTCTCTACTCAGCACCGACCGGGAGGCCTCCATCGACATCCTCCACTCCATCGGTAAAGGTCCTCGCGCCGGCCCCGCGGCCCCGCCGTCCAGGCGCGGCCTGTGTCGGTCGGAGGCGGCGGAGAGGGTCCGGGCTAGCCGGCTATGGTGCTGCTGACTCACTGTGTGTCAGGGGGGCCGGGCTGGGGGCGCAGGCCGCTCGGGCCCCCCGGGAGCTCTACGGCTTCCAGTCGGGCGGGAAGCCCCGAGGCAGTCCGCGCGTCCACCTGCTGGCTGCTGACTCACGGTGGGCGCATCGCAGCGTGGAGAGAGGGCCGGGCTGGGTTCGCTACCCCTCAGGGTCCCCGGTTGTGGCCCGCGCGAGCTGCCCCGGGGCTGAGAGCCGCTGCTGGTTACAGACTGGGGGGTAAAGGGTGTTCTTGGAAGGCCTGGACGACGGACGCTCAGGACTGGCATTTCCCGCCGTTGTTCCCAGCACAGGTTGCTCCGGGTGGGAGCGCGAGCGCTTCTCTTGGAGTTTTCTTCGGCGGGACGCTGGGAGCTGCTGCTTACCCCCGGCGGGCTCCAGCCAAAGAGGGTCACCCTCTGAGTGTTGCACCTTGAGGGGTGCCACACACCTCCGATTGGCATTTGGTGGAGGTGGCCGGGACGGTCCTCTGTCAGGTGGAGACTGCGAGGCCGAGTGTCCGGGTGGGACCGCCGGGACAGAGGAGGTGACTCATTTTCACCAGCCGGAGTTGAAGTCAGTTCTGGGAGTTAGTTGTCTGTTGTTCAGGGAACTCTTTGGAACCGGCCGGCCGCGCACATTGCTGGAGAAAAAGGAATTTAACACCGTAGTGTGATTGTCTTAAAACCTGAGGGCAACAGGAAAGTTGAAATAGGAACCTTCAGCCGGTCGCTTTCTGCTGGGATTCAGGTGCGGACAGAAATAAGGTTGGGTGATGTCGGAGAAGACTTTTTCATGTTCTGTCGTGAAGGGTTCAGTCAGGGCGTGAGCTTCCTCTCGTGGTAATGTAGTGTTATAAATGTAGCCTGGGAAGAGTCAGAATGGATCAACAAGTAGTTACTGAATGCAGGTGTATGTGGGACTTGCAGGATGTTGGTGCTTAGGTTGACTTTCTTAGTCTGTTGAATTTCTCTTGCACCTAGAAAGTACAGTGACAACAGCTTGGTGTCTTTATCTTTGGGGGTACTAGAAAAGGAGAGGAGGTGGTGATTACAGTGCATTTGGAAGGAATAATGTTGATTGTTTCACTTTGAAGTTCTGATCCTAAGTAAGTTTTAGAACAGAGCACCAGAATCACGTTACAAAGGTATTTTCCCGTGAACATGTTAATATTTAGAACCAATCTGAGGAGCATGAGGTAACTTTTTTTTGTGTGTGTCTAGTTCCTAATTTGTTTGCCTTTCAGAAAATAGAAACTGCTGATAAACGTTGCCATTAGAGTATTTCTTGGTTGCTCACTGCAACCAAGAGTCCAACTAAGAGTCCACTGCAAGCTCCCCTGTTAGAGCAAGCTTGAGTCATGATGGGTGACAGCATTACTTTTTCCAGACTCCATCATGAAGTATCAAACTCTTGTTTTTTTGTCAAGTCATGATGCTTTATGATAGCAGTGATAACTCGTGATGGCACTGCAAACTTTGGAGAGGCTGTTTGAGGTTCAGGTGGCTGAATAATTATTAACAGTTGAAAGTGGGACAGATAAAGTTTTTATTTTAACAGGACCCAAATCCATTATGAGGCTGCAGTCTCTTCTCTGAAGTGTAACTGTTCAGCATCACACTGAAGCTACTGAAGGAATTTTTCTAGAGTGGCTTTATAGAATTGTTTATTCTAATATATCCTTTAGCTGAAGCTTTCTAGAGACTTTGAAAGACTTGGTTTATAGTCATCAATAACTTTGTGTTTTAAAAAATATCTTCAGTGGACTTGGGGAGTGGCATGCATGCAGAAAGGGGAGGGAGGGTGGGATCTTGAGGGGAGGAGGGAGGGGCATATGGGGGGATACAAAATGAAAAAAGTGTAATTAATAAAAAATTAAAAAAAATATCTTCATGCAATGTAGTGACTAGCATGGGGCTTGGAAGGATTTGCTTTAAGTTGATTTGAAGCAAGCACAGCAGAAATTTCAGTGTCTGTGGTGAGGTGAATTCTAAGGGGTTGAGTAAAAAGGCCCACTTACAGAGAAGAATCTACTTTTTTATTATTGATATGAGTCACGTCCTATAGATACTTGGTCATTTTACTTTTTAGGTTTTTTTTTTTAGCCTTTATTTGTTTGGTAGTTTCATTTGGAAAATATGCTAGAGTCTTATAAGGTTGAATTTTCCCTTGCTTCATTTTTTTTTTTAATCATTATTTTAAGTGTTTATTTTCTTTTCTCAGTGAAGCGAGACATCCAGGAAAATGATGAGGAGGCAGTCCAGGTCAAAGAGCAGAGCATCCTTGAACTGGGGTCTCTCCTGGCAAAGACTGGACAAGCTGCTGGTAAGTCTTCCAAGTGTATTAAGCCTATAATGCCTTTGTCTGAAAAACCAGATGAAGTCTGTCTTAGAACATGGGGACTGCATCTAACACCCAGGTCATTTGGGGTGTTTTTCAGTTTTATTTTCCTGACAACTTGTTGATCTTCACTTTTGAAGCAGAAAAGTGTAGAATTTTATTCTACAGGTGAGAGGAAGTCCTACTTTTGTTGGAATATAGTGATCTGTGATTTGTTCCTTATTTTTGAATTCTGATTATTTCCTTGCATATGGGCAGTCTCAGTCGCCATCGATTTCATAGACTAGGTCTGGTATACTAAGGAGAGTGATTTTAGGCCCTTCACTTGAAAAATTGCTAAGGGTTTGTATCCAAGTGACTCACTTTTTCTGGTGTAGAATGAGTAAGACATTAAATAGTGCCTTCCTAAGACTTCTTTGGTACCTATTGTTACATGCTATATATTACATATTGTTGTCCAGGCATCTGAATGGCTCGGCTTGAGATGATAGTTGGATGATGGATGCTTTCTTGAAATAAGGAGAGAGTCCTGTTGACTAGAAAGTACCTCTAACCAATAAAGTGGTAATAATATCATAAGCTTATGTAAACTTAAAGTGGGTGTCACATTGAAGTGAACTTTGAGGGGCTGGATAGATGGCTCAGATTAGGAACACTTGTTACTCTTGTAGAGGATCTGGATTTGGTTTCCAACACCCACATGGTGGCTCACAAGTATCTGTAACTCCAGTCTCAGAGGATCATATGCCCTTTTCTGACTTCTGAGGGCACCAGGTGTGGACCTGGTACACAGATAAACATTCATATGCATAACATAAATCTTAAAAGAAGTTGAATTGAGTTTAGAATTTATTTGATTGGAATGAAGTGAGTTCTGTTAAGTCATCTCATCAGTTACTTTGTGTATGTGGTGAGCCAAGAGAATGATGGAGATAGTACAACAAAAGTTTTTGAACTTGTAAACTTGTAAGATCTCTTGCAATTCATTTCAATTTATCTTTTTTTTTTTTTTTTTTTTTTTGCTGGTTTTTGTTTTTGTTTCTGTTTTTTTGAGACAGGTTTTCTGTGTGTAGCCTTATATGTCCTGGACTCACTTTGTAGATCAGGCTGGTGTCAAACTCACAAAGATCTACCTGCCTCTGCCTCCCTGAGTGCTGGGATTAAAGGCGTGCACCACCACGCCTTTAGTTTATCTTTTTAATTGCTGGCTCAATCAGAAAATTGAGTGGCTGTTGCATGCCTGTTTTTTCAGCATTTGGGAGGCAGGAGCAGGCTGATTTCTGTAAGTTTGAGACCAGTAGTGAATTCCAGGGTAGTCAGGGCTATATAATGAGATCCTTCTCCAAAAACAAAACAACAAAAACAACCATGTGTCGAGTATATGCAGTGAGTGTTTATTACGTTTTCTCTAGTGAGGTTTCTGAAATCCCATTTTATGCCTGTCTATTTTGTTCTTGCTCTCTAGTGTGTGACATTTAGGGAGTATACTGCACTTGTATTTTTTTCCTCCCTTTGAGACAGGGTTTCTTTGTATGTAGCTCTTGCTGTCCTGAAACTTACATGTAAAGTTTGCTAGGCTCAAGGTCAGAGATCTGCCTACCTTTGCTTCCTCAGGTGTTTGGACTAAGGTGTGTACTACCACACCTGGCCACTTGCTGGAATTTAAGGGATGAGATGTAAACTTTAAATATAAAGAGTTCCTTGCCTACTTACTGTTTCCTAAGTCAGTTTGATCCTTACAGGTCAGTATTCACAAAATACAAATTCTAAGGAGGCTTTGGAGCCTGTTGTAATAATTGTTGACTCTCGCTTTGAAAGCATGCATATTCACTTAACCTCCAGTTTTGCTTTATTGTGCATATGATAGTTACCTGGTGCTGTACTAAGTACCCTGCCTAAAAAGTTTAAGATAGGATCCCTGGTGGAAAATAGTACTTAGAGGTTAATGAATTAGATGAGGTCTGATGTGTAGTAATGATTGAAAGTGGTTCTGAACATTGGCAAACAAGATGCTTAAGCTCAGGATCTGTGAAAATTTTCTTACAAGACTTTATAAAAAAAACCTGCTGGGTCTGTTAGGTTCTAAGAAGGAGATTCTGACCATAAATTGCAGATAATTCCAATGAATTAGGAATATGAGCCTGGTGTGGTGATGCACACCTTTAATCCCAACACTCAGAAGGCAGAGGCCGGTGGATCTCTGAGTTTGAAGGCCAGCCTGGTCTAGGCTGTCCTGTCCTCTGAGTCCAGGACAGCCAAGGCTACAAGAGAAAAACCCTGTCTCAACCGCCCCGCCCCCCCAAAAAAAAAGGAAAAAAAAAGAATATGATTTTAAGAAATTAAAATACAGGAGTATACAAATATGGAAAGAAACTGGGTATGTCTAAGAATGAACACTCAGTAGTAGACAAAATGAGACTAAAAAAAGGATAGTTCATATCATTTGTCCCTCTGTTAAGGTTAGAATAACAGTACCTAGAGAAGACAATGCTGATGCTAGAGACAAAGGCAGATTATTTAGCTCATGTTTTACTTCTGCCTTTTCTAGGAAGGAAAATGATTTTCAAACAAAAGATAGAAATAACATCAGAAAGAGAATTAAAGTCAAGGTAGGTGAGAGAAGAGAGAGCACATGATCTTTATAAGTCATTTCTCTTGGCTCTGACAATTTTTGTCTTTTGGCATTGAAGGAGTAATAGCAGCTAGAAGTGCAGAACTACATAGGGAAATCATGGAGGACAAAGTATTTAAACACTGAGCATAGCAAATATTCCACCTTTTAGAAAGGTAATGAGATCAAGATAGGTGGAGGTGGTACATACCTTTAACCCAGCCCTGGGGTATGGGGAGATGAAGGGGACTGGTGTGCAGAGGCAGGCAGGTGGATCTCTGGAGTTTGAGGCCAGCCTGGTCTCAAGAGCAAGTTCCAGGACAGCCAGGGCTACACAGAGAAACTCTGTCTTGAAAAAAAGAATTACTACAAAATAAAGTCATTAGTGATCTACTGGGACAGATGATTAATTAGGAGATTTTAATTAAACCTGAGTTATTGTGAACAGAATATTCCATCCAAACTTACCTTCAAAACTAGTAAATTTGCAGGGGACAATGCTGTCTACTTTTGCAAACAGTTTGATTGAACATGGTCACATTCATTTCCGTGTTTATGATGGTGGCATCATTTGTAAACTGCCACCATCTGAGACCGTGTAACCTGCAAAGCAAAAATATTCACTTTTTTGGCCTTTGACAGAATTTGCCAACTTGTAGAGTAGAAGAATGATATAGGGACTGGAGAGGTGGCTCAGTGGTTAAGAGCACTAACTGCTCTTCCAGAAGACCTGGGTTCAATTCCCAGCACCCACATGACAGCTCACAACTGTCTGTAAGATCTGACACCCTCACACAAACATAGATGCAGGCAAAACACCAATGCACATAATTAAAAATAAATAAATTATTTTTAAAAAATGAGGTAGAATATATATTTGATGTAAGTAGAATACTTTTTATCATTTGCTAGACTATTAATATGATGGTGTAGGTTATAAATTTATATTAGGCTGAATAATTATTGAAATATATATTAATAATTGTTTCCAAACTTGAGGAATCATTGATTTGTCCTTGATTTTTCTGATTAATATTTGGCCCCCATGGTTAAAGCCATAGCAGAAGGCATGGATATTTTTGTAGGCGGTCAGTTGAGTAGAAGGTAGATTTAAGAGTTACTTAATTAACAGTTGCTGCTGAAGCCAGGAAGGTTAGTGCAGTTGTAAAAAAATTACATACTTGAAGTATTTATTAAAACAGAGAAAGATGTGTAATTACCTGTCTTTATAATACTGTATGCAAAAAGACCTTAATGAACTTAGTCTGAACCAATAATGCTGCCATGTTGCTGCTTACGAGGGATACACCTGCATAGCTGCAGCAGGCAGGAGTCTGAGGCAGGAGCTTCCTGAGTTTGACGTCAGCCTGCAATGCTCAGGAGACCCGTTCTCAAACCCACTTCCCTTCACCCCTTAAAAACTCTGCTGTGTCATATGTGCTAGCCAGATCCGCCCTACTCTGAGACCTTTCTGTGATTATTTTCTTCAGTCAGAAGTACTTTTACCCACATAATGGGACAGCTAAGGGGATAAATAATTTAGAAACAAGGATGCTGGAGGAACATTTGAAATAGTAAGGATATTTAGCTTTGAGAAAGGGATGGGTAAAGAAATGTGAATGATAGTTATCCTAAAATATTTGAAGACAGTTGGAGGAGATACAGATTTGTTTTTAAAAAAAGATACAGATTTGTTTAAAAATTTTTTTGATCAAGATTGGAATAGGCAGCTGGGCATAGCATCACACACCTGTGGTCCCAGCATTCTAGGAGGCAGAGGCAGGGGAATCTCTTGTGAATTCGAAGGCAGCCTGGTCTACAAAGCTGAGTTCAGGACAGCCAAGGCTACACAGAGAAACCGTTTTGAAAAACCAAAAACCAAAAAAAAAGAAAGAATAGGCTGCTTTTTTAATATATTAGTCACTAAAATCATAGTTGTTCAAGCATAATAGAAAACTATGGAAGAAAGACTATCGCATCAAACTAGTCCTATAAAGAAAGCTATCATGTATCTCAATAGTGGAATAGTGGAATACTTGCCAACTTGGTCCTCCTCCAACTTGTGTAAGCATGTACACAAGCCATGCTTATATAGAACAAGTAAAATTTGCATAAATGTAAAAAATTATGGTTTGTGAGTGTTTTTGAAATAGAGTTTCATGTCTGTTTTGTTTTCTTGAGATAGCCTTAACTCTGTAGCCCAGGCTATGCTAGAGTAGCCCTTGAGCTCACTCATTGTAATCCTGCTGCCCTAGCCTCCTGAGTGCTGGGATTATAGTACACCATACACAGCTAGGATTTTTTCCCTTAGGACAAGAAGTGTTTGTTTTGCTGTGGTTCCAGAGCTTTCAGTTATTGTAATGGGAAGGGTACAAAGTGGAACAGAACTGTTCAATTCATGGTGGACAGAAAGCAGAGAGAGAAGGGCACAAGAAGGAATTTGAGGAGAGAAAAAAATTACTGTATACTGGAGTTAGGATGGAAGAGTCAGTAGTTCCCTAGCTGGGCCTCTAAAGGGTATATTGAGTTTACGTAGACATCTCAGATTGTCTCCTGGCATGAAGTCAGCTTGAAAGTAGTGAGTATGTGAGTGTAAATGAGAGAGCAGAATGGAAAGCAGTCTCAGATATTGGGAGCCAAAGGTCAGTTCTGGGGATTGAAGGGATAAAACTTTTTCATTCTGTGTAGTTTTCCTTTAGCACCTCACATAGTTCTGTGCATCCTCTGACTTCAGGCAGATGAGGATTTCAAGGACGCTGAATTTGTGTTCTCAGGAGGGCAAAGTATGCTTGCCCTGAATTAGAGTTCTCAGGAGGATGAGTCTACAATTAGAGAATTTTAAAGAGACACTGGCACTAAGGTAGCTTTAACCTACATTCCCAAACTACGTCTTGTTTAGTTCAGACATTGTCTAGGGGTTGGAGAGATGGTTCGGTAAAGAACACTTGTTATTCTTTGAGAAGAGGCAAGTTTGATTCCCATCACCCTTATTGGGCAGCTTACAACCATTGTAACTAGCTCTAGGAGGATTTTGTGTCCTCTGATCTCTAAAGACATTTGCTCCTGTTGCTGGTGCACGTGCACATTATTAAAAGCAATAAAAATAAATGCTTTAAAAAAAAAAAGCATTGTCACCAGGTGGCACACACCTTTAATCTCAGTACTTGGGAGGCAAAGGCAAAAGAGGCCATAGATATCTGAGTTGAAGGCCAGCCTGGTCTAAAGAGCAAGTTCCAGGGCAGCCAAGGCTACACAGAGAAACTGATTTTTTTTTTTTAAGAAAAGAAAAAAAGAAAGCAGTGTCTAATTTTTCTTGTTTAACAAGTGCATCTTTACTGCTACTGAAGTCACTCCCTTAGATTTCCTGAACTGCCCACTTCTAAAAAGGAGGAGAAAGCTTTATGATGACAGTTTTGTGTGTGTGTGTGTGTGTATTTTTACTTTTCTGTGATGGACAGCTTTTTAAGTCATTAGTTAACATTGAGGAATTTTTAAAGTCTATAGTGAAATTTTTAAGGACATCCTGACTTCACTGTGCCAAAGAAGTGTTACTACTGAAAGGCTACACAGGGACACCTTAACCTGGGGTTGGAAGCTTCTGTCTGAGGGAAACTGTAAGGCATAGATTTGGAGGGTAAAACACCTTTGAGACTTGATATTTGCTACAGCATATTTCATGTTCTATAAAACTGTTCTTGATAACAGTACTTTGCTTTGTATCTGTCATTCAAATGGATAAAGGATACATAGATGGGAGTTCATGTGAGTTTTCATAGTGACCCAGTAGAGAGGTGGTTTGTGGAAGTGGTATGTGATACATTGTTGCTGTCTTATTACCTGCTGGGTATCTCACACTGTAGTCTCTGTTGACTTAGAACTTGTTATGTGGCTAGCCTCAGAATCAAGGTAATTTCTCCTGACTCCTGCTCAAGGGTTAGGGTTACAGATATGATCTACCACACCTGTTTTTGCTGGGAATTGTTAAAACTTCCATTAGATTGACACCAGGTATGATTTTTATTTCAGTCTCTCCTGTTTTTTATTTTTTTATTTTTTAACAGTTTTAAAAACATTTATTAATGCATTTATGGGGGTGAGTGGGAGGGATACATGCATGCCATGTGCCTGTGTGGAGCTGAAAAGATAATTGGCAGGAGTTGGGTCTATACTCTTTGGTTCCAGGGGTCTAAAGTAGGCCTTGGCAGCAGGTACCTTTACCCCCTGAGGCTCAGCTTTTTAAAATGAACATTTTGTTTCTAATTTTACAATTTACATTTTGTTTTCTGAATTGCTGTCCACACAGAGCTTGGAGGACTCCTGAAGTATGTACGACCTTTCTTGAATTCTATCAGTAAAGCTAAAGCAGCTCGTCTGGTCCGATCTCTTCTGGATCTGTTTCTTGATATGGAAGCAGCTACAGGGCAGGAGGTAAGTCATATTAATGATAGGAAGCAGATAATATGGTGAAAAGTGTGTTTGGTGAACGATGGCTACTTGGCTGCCTGCAGTTCTTTGTGGAAGGGACAGCTGGGAGGCCGCTCAGGACCTATCATGTCAGCTTCTCTTTGTTACAGGGCGTTTGATACTTTGAGTCTGTTCCATGCTTTGCTTTGTAAGTGGAGATTGTCAGTGGTCCCTGGAATCCTCATTACATCAGGGTCACAAACTGATTCTTGTCTTTGAGGTATTGTATTGCTACACCTTTGTAATGTTTTCTGTGTCTGTGGTACCTTTCATCTTGTGTCACAAAGTTTCTTATGAGCACCAATTAAGCCTTGTGGCATCCTTTCTTGTCATGTTTTCTATGGTTTACATGCCTTTATTAAGGGATGAGCATCCATTTGTTCTGTTTCATTGTCGGGAAGTGACTGATGTCTCTGTATATGTTACAAGTTTAAACTGGACTTTGAACTGTTAAAAGAGATTCTCTCTAGACCAGTACTGAGTGCCTAAAGTAGTATTATAGCCAGTAGGGACATGGTTAAAAAAAAAATACTCTCATGAGGATTGCATTTTAAGAGGGAAGGCAGATCATATGTAAGATGCTTGATAATATGTAAAGGCAGGGGCTGGAATTACCTGTTGGTTGTATGTCTGACTGTCTGCTGTATTTTAGGTGGATATGCAGGTGAAAACAAAAGCCCACAGGCATATTTTGGACTGAGTGAGGGATTTCAGAAATCCAGGACACATGGATCCTAGTTTGGGATTATATGTTAGGTTTGTTTTATTGCTTTAATGCTGCTGCTTTTTTATTTTTTAGATTGATTTATTTTATACGTAATAGTGTTTTGCCTAGATGTATGTGTGTGTACCACATGTGTCTTGTGCCCTTGGAGGCCAAAAGAGGGCATTGGATTCCCTGTAACTAATGTTATGGATGGTAGTTAACCACCATGTGAGTTCTGGGAACTGAACCCAGACCTTTGCAAGAACAATAAGTGTTCGTAATCTCCAGCCCCACTATGATGATCTTTCGAAGCCAAGCTATAAGCTTCACTTGTAGAGCAGTCTTCAAATTTCCTTGTTTGTTTCAAGTTCAAAATAGATAGTATTTAGATAAATGTCTTTGAATTAAAGTATTATGGTTATTTTGGTGAATTAAAGAAAACATACTTTTTAGAAATGTTATCAGTCTTATCAATCCCTAACTCTGAATTGTGCTTTGTATTCCTGAATTTGTCTTTTCTCTGAAATAGAACTCCTTAAAACAGGCTGACCAATGTCAGCCTCTGACTGATAAATGCTACTTTGAACTTTTTAGATTAAAAATCAATGATTTGATTTTTTGATTTTGACAAAATCAAAATTGGCAAAAAAAAATCAATTTGGCTGTTTCTTTGCTCAGAAAAGTCTCAGATTTGTTTCTCCTTCTAACAGAGCTTAGTGGGTAGAACTGAATCACTCTTTTACTCCTTTTTTTTCTTCAGTTTTTTTTTTTCTTTCTTTCTTTTGAGACACACTCACTCTGTAGCCTTGGCTGGCCTGCAGCTCACTATGCAGACCATCAGATTGGCCTGGGATTCAGAGAATCGACCTACCTCCTCCTCTGGAGTGCTAGGATTAATGGTATGCGTACCTTTAACCCTTAGTCCTTTTTGGGAGTGTCCTCAACTCATACTTGATGAGTGGGACTTACTACTGGCCTTTGTTGTAGGGCTTCATATCTGAGTAGGCTCTCTTTACTGTGTCTGTACATTGCAGTTGTTCATTTTTGTCAGCTAGAGTAAAAGGAAGTACTTAGGTGTGTTGTAGAAAATTGATCAGTTAGCTCATTATTACTATTTTTTTTTTTTTTTTTTTTTTTTTAAGAGAAGTCTCAGTGTGTAGTCCTGGCTTGGTCTGGAACTTGCTATGTATATGAGCCTAGCCTCAAACCCATAGAGATTCTCCTGCATCTGCCTTCCAAGTGCTAAGATAACAAGTATAATCTTATAACCTTTTAAGTGCTGGGATTATAGGTGTGTACTACCATGCCTGGCTGTATTTTGTCATTTTCATATATGTGTGTAACTTCAGTATTTGGTAAAGACTTTTTTAACAATTAGAAATTTAATTTTTATCAAGCAACAGCAACAACAACAAGGTTTCTGTGTGTACCCCTGGCTATCTTGGAACTCAAGAAATCTGCCTGTCCCTGTCCCCTGAGCATTGAGATTAAAGGTGTATGCCACTAATCCCTGGCTTTATATTCGTTTTCTTCTCAGCTACTTTGTTTTTTTTCTTTTTATCTTTTTTTTTTTTTTTTCATTTTGAGACTGTCTTACTGTAGCCTTGAACTCACAGAGATCCATGTGCCTCTGCCTCCAGAGTATTGGGGTTAAAGGAGTGCACCAATATTGCCCAGCTTATTTTCAAGGGTATTTTACCAAGTATCATTCTGAAACTTGTAGATCTCTTCTGTCCCTGCTTGAGCCTTTAGTGGTTCTCCACTATCAGCTTTAGGTAACTCATGGTTTTCTGGAATACAGTATACTTCAGCACCTTGATCCTCCTGCTCCTGAATTCTCTTTGGGGTTTGGTTGGCCTAGAATCCGTCTGCTCTTCATGCTGTGCACTTTTTTTCTGTAATCCCATCTCAAGTTTACTTTCTTGGACATTTTTTCTTGTTAATGTTGGTATGATCTTAACTTTTCCAGTGACCCACATTATATTTTATACATGTTATATTTCTCATTATTTTACTTTATATAGCAATTATGCATGTGGTTTATAATTTTTAATATAGTCTCATTCAGGGGAATTACTCTATATCTTGTGGCAACTCAAGGCTTTCCTCATTCCCAGTATTCTTCAGTTTCTATGGCTACTTAAAAAAATTTTTTTAGAGTTATTTTATGTGCATAAGTGTCTTGCTTCAAGTATGTATGTGCATGTGTGTCCAGTCCCTGAAGAGGTCAGATGAGAATGTTGGATCCCCTGGAACTGGAGTTGCAGACCATTGTGAGCTGCCATGTGGGTGTAGAGACCCGAACCTTGAACCCAGGTCCTCTGTGAGAGCTGCCAGTACTCTTAACAGCTGAGCTGTCTTTCTAGCCCCTAGAGTAATTTTTCTTTAAGGAATTACATAATTAGTACTTGAATGAGTATACAATAAGGCCTTAGGTGCTAGGAAGATACTTCCTTGAATTGAGATCTGAGTTGTTTTTTTTTTAAACTCTTTATTGGTTTTATATGTATGAATGTTTTGTGTACGTGTGTGTCTGTATATCAAGTACAGTGTCCTCAGAGGTCAGAAGAGATTGTTAGATTCCCTAGGGACTGGAGTTAGACAGTTGTGAGCCCCCATGTGGGTGCTGAAACCTGGGTCCTGTAGAAGAGCAGCCAGTGCTCTTAATTGATGAGCCATTCTCTAGGCCCTAGATACAAGTTTATTTAATGGATATATGAGTATATCTCACTCTTCCTTGTCTTAGGTGACTCAAAAGTTTTTGTTGGGAAATTGATAGTGTTTATTCTTGGTTTTTTAAAATTATGTGGGTAATGTGAAAATAGAGAAGGAAGGCATAGGTGATTCACTGTTGTAGCAGTATTGAGGCTGAGGCAAATAGGAAGTTTGAGAATGTGGTTAGGAGAGCTAGACTTGTGTTAAAGAGCTTTTATCAATAATATAAGGGGGAGGGGCTGACAAGATGGCTCATCCAAAAGATGCTTGCTGCCAAGCCTGAAGACCTGAGTTCTGTCCCTGGTATCTACGTGGTGGAAGGAAACACTAAGTCCCTCAGACAAAATAACTATGTAGCAAGCTCCATGCCTTTAGATTTTTTCCCCTGGGACTGCCACTGTTTCATAATTATCATAGATACATCAAACCATATATTCAGTATTTATTGAAGCACTCCAGGTAAAACTGATGGACATTTCTTGGTCTCACAAGTCACATACGACTTAAGACTATTATATTTTCCTTGTTAAAAATATTAAGAATATTTTCAGTTTATCTATATCATGAATGTATCTTGAGTTTGGCTTTTCAAAATAATGCAAAACTCTTAAGGTTGTCATTGGCTTGCTTTTAGTTTAGTTTTTGTTCTATCTTTATCATTTGAGGTTAGATGTGTTTGGCATTGGAGAGTAGGTAACCACGGGGGCTTCAGTGAGGAAGGAGTTAGGAATGTTTCTTTAGCCTAGTCCTAGTGAATTGTCCCAATGTTAGTTTTGTTTTCTTAATGAGTTTGTCAATCTCATCATGTTAGGCTATTCCTGTAAGTTTTCTTTCCTTACAGCATCTTTCAGGAGAACTTTGAATTTACATGAGAATTCATTGCATTAATTAGCAGTTCTCCAGAAAGTTCACTTTCTCATTTTATTGCTTTATGTTCTGATTAGCAACCTTAATGTGAGAACTTCGTACTGGAAGTGATAGAGAACCTACAGTGCTTCCTGTGTGCTCTGTTAAAGCCAGGGTGCTGTGGGTACCCAAAGGCACGCTAGGCTGTTTAGCACAGAATGCCACATTTTGTTATTTTGTATATCTTATTACTATTTGGGTGACAGACAGAACTGGAGGTGCAGGGCTCTTTGAAATGTGTTGGGTCAGTTCTACTCTCTTCCCCTTTAATATGAACTGAGCTTTACTGTGTTTTCTTTAATGAATAATAATAAATGGTTAGTTGTGCTTAAGGAGAAAGAGCTAGCTAGATGTTTTGAGCCTTAACAGATGTTAGGAACTTCACATCTTTTTACTGGTATAGTCACATTGTTTACCATTACTATTTTCAACTGTTAATGGAGAGAGTTGTACTTTAAAGATGCCTACGATGTTATAGAAATAAACGTGTATTGAGGAATTCTGAATATCTACTAGGAAAGTAAAAAAAGAAACCTTTTTCCAAAGAACACTTTTTTTGTTTTGTTTTGTTTGAGACAGGTCCTTTATATATCTGGCTATGACGGAACTCACTATGTAGACCAGGCTGGCTGGCCCGGAACTCATAGGGATTCGCCTGTCTCTTTTTCCCAAATGCTGGAACTAAAGGTGTGTACCAGCAGCTAGACCAGATAATAATAATAATAATAATAATAATAATAATAATAATAATAATAAT